ATAAAGAACTCAAAAGACAAAGAATCGAGAAACCAAATGACCCAATTTAAAAATGTGCTGGAGATCTAAACAGAGAGTTCTCAAAGGAAGAAATAAAGATGGCTAAGAAACATCACAAAACATGTTCAACATCTTAACAATTAGGGAAGTGTAAAAGTAAATAAAGATGAAATAACAAAGTTTGCAGGTAAATGGATGGAACTCGAAACTGTTATACTAAGTGAAGTAACACAGATACAGAAAAACAAACGACGTATGTTCTCCCTCACCAAATTCTTTTAAATTCCAAATCCTTTTAAATTCCAAATCCTTTTAATAAGAAGATGCTATACAGCAGTCCCTTCTGCATGAAATAACGACCATCATCATGACTTCGGCTGAGCCTGATTGCTAAACATAGTCACAGTTGGGCTTGTTGATGGTTGTGCTCATTTGTAAAGGGAGTCCCAAGCAGGTTCTTTAGCCCCTCCCCTGAGTACCCAGCCACTCTTCCCAGCCAACTAGTCCAGCCTTGGAAAACAAAAGAAAAATAAAGAAGAACCCAATGGAGGGATGCTTTTGGAAGTCCTTGTCAAGAAACTCCAATGGACTTTCATATGAACATTTGAAAATTCCTGTTTTGACTTTTTTCTAGGTCCCTGTCTAGAACCTGTAATGCTTATTACTCTTGCCTTTACTTCTCCTTCACATCACATATCATGAATCAAGGACTTTCTTCTTACCTTGGAGACAAGAGTTATGCAATTTGGGAGTCTTTTAGATACAACCATTGAAGGGGTACTCCAATTGCCTCATCCTGCGTCCCTGTTAAGCATGGAAGAAGCCAAAGCGGTCAGCATCCCTATTCCCTATTGGCAATTTGGTAACCCCTTCAGAGGATGGTGTGATCAGATTAGGAGGTAGGAACTGGATAGGCAGTTAGGGTAAAAAGACCCCAAAGAAATGTAGCCAGTTTCTTGGCTAAAAGACAAAATGTCTTTGGGCCTGTTAGCAACATACTCTGTTCCAAAGGCCAAAAATGTCAAAAGTATTTGGGAGCTTGTATCTAATCCTTAAAATATTTTAGGGTCACCTCTTCAGAGGGCGGAATGTTGGAGGGGAGGGAGTGGGCATGGATTTGATCGAAACACCTTATATACATGTATAAAATTTTCAATAAATTTTTGTTAAAAAAAAAAAAGAGGTAGGAATTGTCTAGGCAGTTACGGTAAAAAGACCCCAAAGTAAAGTAGCCAGTTTCTTGGCTAAAAATCGAAATGTCCTTGAGCCTCTTAGCAACATACTCTGTTCCAAAGGCCAAAAATGTCAAAAGTATTTGGGAGCTCTTACCTAATCACTAAAGGATTTTAGGGTTACCTCTTCAGAGGAGGGAATGTTAGAGTAGCAAAAAAAAAGAGAAAAAAAACATTAAAAAGGAGAAAGAAAGAAAGAAAGAGTATAGGAAGTTGTCAGAAAAAGGTGATGGGGAGGTATAGGAAGTGTTGGAGGGGAAGGAGTGGGTGTGGATTTGATCAAAACACCTTATATGCATGTATGAACTTCCCAATAAAGTTTTTATTAAGTTAACAAAACAGAGAAGTGTAAAGAAAAGAAAGAAAGAAAGAAAGAAAGAAAGAAAGAAAGAAAGAAAGAGAGAGAGAAAGAAAATCTCCCAGAGACCAGGTATGGCAGTGCATGCCTTTAATCCCAGCAGTAATAATGCAGAGGCAGGTGGATCTCTGAGTCCAGCCTTGTTTCCACAGGTAGTTCCAGCCAGTGAAATAAAGGGGGGGGGGTCGATAGAGGAGGGAGGGAGGGAGGGAGGGAGGGTGGGAGGGGAAGAAAAGAGAAAAGAAATCTCTCAGTGGGGAACTACTCATAGGTTACTCATTGACCTTGATTATCTACCTTGCAACCTTGGTTAGATCAAATACCTTTAAGCTTAGCAAACAGTTACATTTATGGGTTTGTGTTCCGGTCAATTCTTTCAATACCATCGCTTAGTACCATCAAGACAATCAGAGTATCTTTTTTCTCGTTTATTCATTCATTTATTTTGTGTGGGGAGAGTATATTTAGCAACATACTGTGTTCCAAAGGCCAAAAATGCTATAGCGTGCATGTGGAGGTCAAAGGATAACTTGTGGGAGTCAGTTGTCTCCTTCCACTATGTGAGTTCTGGTGCTTGAACTCAGGTCATCAGGCTTGGCAGCAAGCACCTTCACCTGCTGAGCCATCTCATCAACTCAAATCACAGAAATTTTAAGATAAATCATGGATAGCAATAGATGAAGAAAATATGATAGGTATACATAATGAAATATTATTTGGTTTTAGAAAGGACAAATCCTGTTATTCGCCACAGCATATGAGCCTGGAAGACACTGACAAATGAAATAAAGCAGACACAGGAAGATGAGCACTGCATCTCACTCATGGACAATATAAGTGTTGATTTCAGAGTAAAATGCACAGTGGTTGCCTAGGGTGATGTAGTGGGGGTAACGGGAGGATATTGGTGAAAAGGCAGAAAAATTCAGTTAGATGTAACAGTAAGTTCAGTAGACCTACTAGATAACACCATGACTACTGTTGGTAACAATACACTGTTTCTAAATGGCAAGAATAGGCTTTAAGAGTTTTCATCACAAAATTAACACGTATAAGAGGTAAGACAAATAAGTCAGCATGATATAACTACGCCACAACATAAATATGTCACATACGACGAATGTTCGTAATTTTTGTTAACTTTTGAAAAATGAATTTAACAAAGAAATCACAAAAAAATTAGATAAATGTGCTTCCAAAAGAACATTTGAACACCTCAGGCCCTATGGCCCCATGCTCCCACCAATTCGTCTTTTCTTTGCCCCAAGTCAAATCCCTTTCAAATCTAGTAGACCTTGATTCTTTAATATTGAGTTCAGATAAGTTGTCCTCTAAAATCTTTATATGGGATAACCGCATCGCCAGCCTCAGAAATCAAAAGCAACTGCATCCCTCAGCTTTCTAACAGGTCACTAAATGCATGTGTCAATGATATGATTTTTTGTATGTGGTGTACGCACATGTATGGTCAGATGTGTTCCTCAGTCACTTGGCACTTGGTTTTCTGGGAGAGGAACTTTTACTGAGCCTTGAGCTCATCAAATAGGCTAGACTGGTTGGCCAGTGAGCACCAAGTTCCACCAGCTACTGCCTCCCCAGAGCTGAGATTACAGACACGCTGCTGTGCTAGGCTATTTAGGTGGGTGCTGGCTATCCCAACGCAGGTCCTCATTCTTGAGCAATAGACACTTTATCAACTGAACATCTCCCCAGCTCTGACAATAATTTTCCAAAAGAAGTAAGAAATTACATATAAACAACAGAAGTAAAGATCCAGAACTACCGACAGATGTTCATGGAAGTCAGAAAAGCTTCCCAACACTACTGGGCAGCGTTTTTATTTAAATACACACTGGACTGGCATTTAACCTACCCATATAAGCTGTATATTGGAATAGGTTTAGCAAGGAAAGAAGGATACAGAGAGACAAGGGTATCCCAAAGCACTGCAGCACGTAACAGGATGCAGAAAGTAGCTGAGCATCACTGAAGTATGAAGGATGAGAGCTCATAACAAGAGCTAAGCCCAGGGGAGCAGCTGGGACTGTGCTGCTCCCAGGTGCTGAGCTAAGGAGAATGCTAGAACAATGATGTGCAGTCCTTAAGAAGGCCAGCAACCTTGTGAAGAACGCATTTGAACACTGAGGGAAAAGAGGCTGGGGACCAAGAAGCTGCTGCAAACACCAGCAGTGCTGATGAACCAAGATGTGATGGGTGGTGTGTCACTGCTCTCCTCTCACCAGTATCAACAGTCAAAGCTCCTGATAGTTCCGTGCTGCTGTAGGGCGAACCTCAAATGCTAACCCTAGAGAAAAGCAGATGTGAACTGTTCCAAAGAGTAGAAAATAACTATTTTTCTCCTAGACGCCCCGTGTTGTCCTTAAGACAGTAATTGTTATTACATTTAAGATGCTCTTCTACAACACTGAGGTTCTGCTGTCCAAGGTAAGTTTATTGAACTCCCTCCCTCTCCAACACCTCTTCCTACAGCCCCTAATGTATATAGCACATAGCGTCCATCAAGCTGCTGTCTTAAATCATAGATTGACAACTTGTTCAATCACTGAAGACAATTCAACTCAGACTGATTAAAAAAGAGAAACCCAGTAAGGTTTGCACAATCTGTCTAGTTCTGTATAACATCAAGAACCCTGTTTTGAAATAAATTGAGTTTCCATGATTCTACCTTGTAAGTAAAATTATGCTTAGATGATAAATAAGTATAGAATTCTCATACCTCACTCTTCAAAACACACAACTCAGAATTTTATATGTGCTGTTATACCAAGTATTTAATCATTTGTAATTTAGTTTGTCTAAATTTTTTTTGAGTTTGAGATCAGACATTGTAACAATGGGGAATTGCAGGCCATATATTGTACACAATAGTGACTACGGTTAGGAACGATGCATCCTATTCCTGAAAAGTGCTAGCAGAGTGGATTTGAAGTGTTCCCAGTCAACAGAAGTGTAAGAAGTAGTGCATGAATGATTGCCTTGATTCAGGCTCCACACAATGAGTACACTGATTTCAGAACATGGTGTTATACATGACAAAAGGCACATGGTTTCAATGTGTCAATTTACAAAACTAAAGCTTTTTAATTAAAAAAAAATGAAGAACTGGGACTGGAGAGATAGCCCAGCGGGAAAGAGCACTGGTTGCTCTTGCAGAGGACCTGGGTTCAATTCCCAGAACCCACATGGCAGCTAACTCCAGTTCCAGGGGAATTTGACACCTTCTTCTGGCCTCTCCAGGCATTGCACAACACAGATGCACTTACACAACATGCAGGCAATACACTCATACACATAAAATAAAAATAATAGGCCAAGGGAAGGTTCGCCTTTCACTGTCTGCCTGCCGCCGCCCATCAGCTAGCCACCAAGTCCTCTGAGCCATGAAGGTCATGCTGCCCAACACTGGGAAGCTGTCAGGATGCACAGTTTTTACCACAGGTGCAAACTGAGGCATTGGCAAAGCTATTGCATTGAAAGCAGCGAAGGATGGAGCCAATGTTGTCATTGCTGCCAACACCACCCAGTCACACCCAAAACTCCCTGGGACAATCTATACAGCTGCTGAAGAGATTGTGACAGCTGGAGGAAAGAACTTGCCGTGTGTTGTTGATGTGAGAGAGGAACAGCAAATCAACCTTGCAGTGGAGAAAGCAGCTGAAAAATTTGGAGGAATTGACATTTTGGTGAATAATGCCAGTACTATTAGCTCAACCAACACATTGGACACTCCTACAAAGAGAGTGGAGTTGATGATGAGTGTGAACATAGAGGCACCTACCTTACATCCAAAGTACATAGTCCCTTTGTAAAAAAGAGCAAGATTGCTCCTATTCTCAATCTCAACCCACCCTTGAACTTCAACCCACTGTGGTTCAAACAGCACTGTGCTTATACCATTGCCAAGTACGGTATGTCAATGTGTGTGCTTGGAATGGCAGAAGAATTTAGAGGTGAAATTGCCATCAATGCTTTTTGGTCTAAAACAGCCATGCACACTGCTGCTGTGGATATGCTGGGAAGATCTGGTGTTGAAAGCCAATCTGGAAAAGTTGACATCATTGCAGATGCTTCATACTCCATTTTCAACAAGCCAAAAAGTTTCACTGGCAACTTTATTATTGATGAAAATATCTTAAAAGAAGAAGGAATAAAAAACTTTGATGTCTATGCAGTTATACCAGGCCATCCTTTGTTACCAGATTTCTTCTTAGATGAACATCCAGATGTAATTATGAAGAAAAAAGAACCAGAAGATCCTGTGCCAGAACTAAAAGAAGAGAAGCCGCAGCGACCACTGAAACCCCATTCTGGAGCTGTGGAAGAAACATTTAGAATTAAGTCCTCTCTCAGTGATGATATTGTTAAAGCCACACAAGCAGTCTATCAGTTTGAACTCTCAGGTGAAGATGGTGGCATGTGGTTTCTTGATCTGAAAAGTAAGGGTGGGAATGTTGGACAAGGAGAGCCCGCCAGTCAGGGGGACGTGGTGATGAGTATGACCACAGATGATTTTGTCAAAATGTCTTCAGGGAAACTAAAGCCAATCATGACACTCATATCAGGAAAATTGAAGATTAAAGGAAACGTGGCCCTAGCAATCAAATTGGAGAAGCTAATGAATCAGATGAATTCCAAACTGTGATGGAAAAGAAACAAAAATGCCAATTACTATGCATCAAAAGTAAAGAGCTCAGCAGCCAGAATCTAATGTTTGTTATCTTCTCTGCTGCCTTATCAGGACACACACTTATTCTGGAAAGAGTAGAATTTCTGTATCTATAAGACCTGAAATTGTAATTAGAACAACTAACCAATCATGTTCAATTTAAGTGGCATCTAATATATTGTGTTTTTCAATATTTTGACGGTTTTGTACTCTAAGCCGGGATCTTATTCTCTGACTTCTT